CATCTTAAAACGTCTAATTCAGGCCGATGGTAAACCTTCGGTCATCTTAAAACGTCTAATTCAGGCCGATGGTAAACCTTCGGTCATCTTAACATGCCTAATTCAGACCGATGGTAAACCTTCGATCATCTTAACACGTCTAATTCAGACCGATGGTAAACCTTTGGTCGTCTTAACACGTCTAATTCAGGCCGATGGTAAACCTTTGGTCATCTTAACATGCTTAATTCACCGTAGAACTCGATCATGTACGAAACCACGTGAACGCTGATGAGAGCAGAATGTGAAGACCAATCAGTAATGTCCGCTGTCTCATCGAAATTTTTACCCACAATGCTTTGACCGTTACGTCAGCACAACCGCTAGATTTTATGTCCTAGAGCAAACAAGCACTGAATTCAACTTCCAAACTATAACGGCAATATAAAGTCAAGAATATTTCAGATTAAATAACAGTAGATGGCGTCCAGTAACTTCCACTGGATAGCAAGCCGAATTTCTGACAGGTTTTGTTGTTTATGTATTCCTTGAGGTACAATGTCAACACAACCGTGTAATTTAACACGTGGAGTTATTCTTACAAGTGCAAACTACATAATTAGTTTATATTGCATTTCTTATCCCTAGATGGCAGCACAATGTTATAAGATGAAAGTCGCACATTGTTAATTGGTGAATAACGTTTTGTAGCTACTTTGTGTTTATTGAAATTATGTTTTATTTTATCACATAAAAGAACTAAATTGTGTTTTAGAACTGTGTAAGGAACATATATAGAAGCTTCAAGTATCCTTTCCTCTTGTAGCCAAGACGGTCTCAACTGAACCCTTTTAAAGTTTAAGATCAATCCACAGTAACATACCGCAGCTCTGTTTTTACTTGCTTATTCTGTCTGTTTTGGAATGAAAATATAAAAAAAACATCTAAATACATCGTATAACGTCTGAAAATCATCGCTGTTTTACATTCAAAACGTTTCGAATAAACTGTTCTATTAACGTTTTTGGAGAAAAAACAGATACTCAACAGCACACACCGCCAACTTTAGGCCTACTCTAATATAGTAGTTCAATTTGGCTGTCATTTTTGTAACGCACCTTCGACACCAAAGTGTTGAACACGATTTTTCTGTGATTTATTCTGCTCCAGATTTATGTTACTGTTCAAGATTTGTGATCCAAAATTCTTAATGAACCTGTGGGCGTTGCAAAACCGACGCAGAATTGTCCATAGCGGAGAACCGAACCCCGCATTTCAACACTGACCCACCGTGAGACCAAAAAGACACCTATTAAATCAGAGAATCACCTAAGCAGGATTATTGCTTCGTTTGTTTGTTTTGAATTTCGCGCAAAGCTACACGAAGGCTATCTGCGCTAGCCGTCCCTAATTTAACAGTGTTAGACTAGAGGGAAGGCAGCTAGTCATCATCACCCACCGCCAACTCTTGGGCTACTCTTTTACCATCGAATAGTGGGATTGACCGTAACATTATAACGCCCCCACGGCTGAAGTGGCGAGTATGTTTGGTGTGACGGGGATTCGAACCCGCGACCCTCAGATTGCGAGTCGAGTGCCCTAACCACCTGGCCAAGGATTATTGCCCTATCTTATAAAATATTTAGTATTTCATGAAACAATGTATTATTGGAATAACACACTAATATACATAATCAGTTACAAACATTGGAAAAATATGATTTTAAACAATAACTTTATTTTGTGGCTGGTGCAGTGCGATAATGAGAAGCATACTTTACTAACGACTATACAGAAGGTTAGGTTCGTTATATTAATACGATTTCGGAGCCTCACTACGTCGTCACAATCCAGGTTGCCACGTCCGGCCATGATCTATCCGACGATCATGTGTCTTGGCAATAGTCCAACATCGTAGTTTATATTGCAAAGCGCTACGTCGTACAGCTATATCGAAAGAATACCACTTCTCCATTTTGGTTTTTAGAAATCTATCTAGTGTGCCCGTTTCAACAGTCTGGCCTCACAGAAATCCATAGGCACTGCGACAGACAATTTGACCGGTATGTATTCCTGTGGAATACCATTTCCGGCTGCTTGAGGAATACAATGGTTGAACTGATATTTTGGAACAGCAATTCCTGTACAGTGCTTTGTGTCACTTTTTCACACAGCGATCCTTCTTAATTATGTTGCTTATTTTTGTTTGGGACACGTGGGTCCTAGTCATCCTCTGTTACACTTTGCTTATCTCAGTGGAGGTACGACTTGTTGCAGGTCTCTTTCCGCCCAGGTTAATCCACATTCATTTGTTTCCCATCAAGTACAACGGATAAGCCCGTTTTGGAAAATCTAAATCCCCGATCTGAACACATCTATATGACCTGATTATATGTCTGTTGTACGTTTGAAAGGGCTGTTACATACCATTCCCAAACTGGCATCACACTACCTATCGAATAATAAAAAGTGTTTCGGGGGAAAACTCACAAATTTGTCAGAATCCATTCTAGTTTCTCTACTGTTTCCCATATAGGTTTTTATTAAACCAGACATAAAGATCTGGTTTACTTTCGTCTGACATAACTTACAAATATCAGCCTCTTTAGAACCAAGACATTTTCTATACTGGTTTTTATTAAACCAGACATAAAGATCTGGTTTACTTTCGTCTGACATAACTTACAAATATCAGCCTCTTTAGAACCAAGACATTTTCTATACTGGTTTTTATTAAACCAGACATAAAGATCTGGTTTACTTTCGTCTGACATAACTTACAAATATCAGCCTCTTTAGAACCAAGACATTTTCTATACTGGTTTTTATTAAACCAGACATAAAGATCTGGTTTACTTTCGTCTGACATAACTTACAAATATCAGCCTCCTCAGAACCAAAGCATTTTCTATGGATCCAGACATAAAGATCTGGTTTACTTTCGTCTGACATAACTTACAAATATCAGCCTCTTTAGAACCAAGGCATTTTCTATCGATCCAGACATAAAGATCTGGTTTACTTTCGTCTGACATAACTTACAAATATCAGCTTCCTTAGAACCAAGGCATTTTCTATACTGATTTCTATGGATCCAGACACAAAGATCTGGTTTACTTTCGTCTGACATAACTTACAAATATCAGCCTCCTTAGAACCATGGTATTTTCTATACTGGTTTCTATGGATCCAGACATAAAGATCTGGTTTACTTTCTTCTGACATAACTTACAAATATCAGCCTCCTTAGAACCAGGACATTTTCTATACTGGTTTCTATGGATCCAGACATAAAGATCTGGTTTACTTTCATCTGACATAAGTTACAAATATCAGTCTCTTTCAGAATGATTTTTTTTATATTGGTTTTGGACATAGAGATATGTTTGTAGCAATATCAAAATGTATTTTAATATATGAACAACAGTAGTATTATGTAAAATATGTACATGGACACAACGTAGTAGTCACGTGACTAGTCTCAATATCGGATATTAAAGTTTGAATTCCTCGTGTTAACAAAAAAAAGCCGGATAGCCATATTCTGTGATAGGTCTAACGTATGATTTATGATCCTATAGGTTTATTTTTTAATAACATTCCATTAAATCTAACAAAAAAAGATCTGAGCTAGCTCTCTAGTGATTCTAATGCAGATAGGCTTAGAGTGAGTGTATTTGTTGGTGTGAATGTAGATAGGCTTAGAGTGAGTGTATTTGTTGGTGTGAATGTAGATAGGCTTAGAGTGAATGTATTTGTTGGTGTGAATGTAGATAGGCTTAGAGTGAGTGTATTTGTTGGTGTGAATGTATATAGGCTTAGAGTGGGTGTATTTGTTGGTGTGAATGTAGATAGGCTTAGAGTGAGTGTATTTGTTGGTGTGAATGTATATAGGCTTAGAGTTAGTAGTGTATTTGTTGGTGTGAATGATATAGGCTTAGAGTGAGTGTATTTGTTGGTGTGAATGTAGATAGGCTTAGAGTGAGTAGTATATTTGTTGGTGTGAATG